ATAAGAACAGTATACTTTGCTCTAATCCATAGTCACTTATCGCAAGGGACCTTACTTTGGGGTAGAACCAGTGCTTTGCAGAAGATTTTTAGTTGCCAAAAAACGGCAATAAGAATAATTGGTAATGTTCCTTATGGTACACACTGTAAACCTTTATTTAAAAATTATCAAATTCTCCCTTTACCATGTGTATACATATTAGAAACTTTAATGTGGTTTCATAAAAAAAATGCTCAAGTACCTTTACAACTCGACTTACATGAATATAATACACGATTTAGGAACAACTTCGTAGTCCCATATTCAAGAATTGGAATTACCCAAAACAACAAACCAGATGTAAAAATATACAACTCCTTTATTAATTTTTACCGTAATAAAAATATTATACATCTAACCATAAATGGCTTTCATAAAATAGCCAAGGACTTTCTGCTGGAGCACTGTTTTTACTCCACTGACGACTTTTTTTTATTTGTTAATTTGTCGAGAGTATAAACTTTTATTTTATTATAAAATTTTATCATAGTAATCTAATAACATTATATAAATATATCATTGTTGTAGTGTTGTGTTTGTTTACATTCATTGTGTTTTATTCTATAATTATATCCCTTTGTATTTTAAATGACTATTTTTTTATATTGTATCCTATTACATTTTATTCAATTTTACTGTATATTTTCTATGTTATATTATTATATATTGTCATTGTATCTTACAGAATGAATTGTATAAGTTTACTAATTTTTCTACTATATTATATTTTCCTACAATTTAAAATGTCGGCTGTGTGACATAAAATGTACAAATTGTATGTAAAAGTGTCAATAAATGTCTATCTATCTATCTATCTATCTATCTATCTATCTATTATTATTATTATTATTATTATTATTATTATTATTATTATTATTATTATTATTATTATTATTATTATTATTATTATTATTATTATTATTATTATTATTATTATTATTATTATTATTATTATTATTATTATTATTATTATTATTATTATTATTATTATTATTATTATTATTATTATTATTATTATTATTATTATTATTATTATTATTATTATTATTATTATTATTATTATTATTATTATTATTATTATTATTATTATTATTATTATTATTATTATTATTATTATTATTATTATTATTATTATTATTATTATTATTATTATTATTATTATTATTATTATTATTATTATTATTATTATTATTATTATTATTATTATTATTATTATTATTATTATTATTATTATTATTATTATTATTATTATTATTATTATTATTATTATTATTATTATTATTATTATTATTATTATTATTATTATTATTATTATTATTATTATTATTATTATTATTATTATTATTATTATTATTATTATTATTATTATTATTATTATTATTATTATTATTATTATTATTATTATTATTATTATTATTATTATTATTATTATTATTATTATTATTATTATTATTATTATTATTATTATTATTATTATTATTATTATTATTATTATTATTATTATTATTATTATTATTATTATTATTATTATTATTATTATTATTATTATTATTATTATTATTATTATTATTATTATTATTATTATTATTATTATTATTATTATTATTATTATTATTATTATTATTATTATTATTATTATTATTATTATTATTATTATTATTATTATTATTATTATTATTATTATTATTATTATTATTATTATTATTATTATTATTATTATTATTATTATTATTATTATTATTATTATTATTATTATTATTATTATTATTATTATTATTATTATTATTATTATTATTATTATTATTATTATTATTATTATTATTATTATTATTATTATTATTATTATTATTATTATTATTATTATTATTATTATTATTATTATTATTATTATTATTATTATTATTATTATTATTATTATTATTATTATTATTATTATTATTATTATTATTATTATTATTATTATTATTATTATTATTATTATTATTATTATTATTATTATTATTATTATTATTATTATTATTATTATTATTATTATTATTATTATTATTATTATTATTATTATTATTATTATTATTATTATTATTATTATTATTATTATTATTATTATTATTATTATTATTATTATTATTATTATTATTATTATTATTATTATTATTATTATTATTATTATTATTATTATTATTATTATTATTATTATTATTATTATTATTATTATTATTATTATTATTATTATTATTATTATTATTATTATTATTATTATTATTATTATTATTATTATTATTATTATTATTATTATTATTATTATTATTATTATTATTATTATTATTATTATTATTATTATTATTATTATTATTATTATTATTATTATTATTATTATTATTATTATTATTATTATTATTATTATTATTATTATTATTATTATTATTATTATTATTATTATTATTATTATTATTATTATTATTATTATTATTATTATTATTATTATTATTATTATTATTATTATTATTATTATTATTATTATTATTATTATTATTATTATTATTATTATTATTATTATTATTATTATTATTATTATTATTATTATTATTATTATTATTATTATTATTATTATTATTATTATTATTATTATTATTATTATTATTATTATTATTATTATTATTATTATTATTATTATATAAAATTCACTTTTTTAACCTGTAGAAAGAAAACTGGGACGTTTACAGAAAAATTATATTTAGCTTTTCTTAATAACTAGTTAAGATTTACAGCTCCTCCAGTTTATGGTACTTTATTCTGAAACACCTTGAATAAGTATTTCCCTTTTTTGAACTTCAAAATAAAAACTTACTTTTTAAAAAAAATATTTTCAATTAAAATTATTAATACAAAATTATAATATTTCGATAACTGATTATAATATCTTTCGAAATAAACAATGTTTTAAAATGTATAACTTTCGATTGCTGACTGTGCCATCCGTCCTTGTTGTCACCTAAGATTTTAAACTGGCTATATATGAAACTGGTTGTTATGTATACGGATTACATAACTGTCCATGCTTATAAACAACGCTTCCGTCTATATTATTATTATATTTCTGCCTCGTCTCGTAAATAAGATATATTGTCGCCCCCTGTATATGCTTCGATTCGACCACATAGTTGAAAGCTGGAACTATTTAATATATTCCCTTCTCCACCAATCCCCTCATCTTAACACTTTGCTTCAGTCTTTGTTTATGTGCCGTAAAGATCACATCTATATTATATTTCCTAGTAAATTCAAAAACAAAGTGTACCGATGACTAAACCTCATAATAAACATTTAAAAAAAGTCGATACAGCATTTTTCGCGTTAAGAACGTGTTGTATATATGGTTTAGCCAGAAATTCACCGATTAAATCTACAAAGTTTTTGTTTTGTTAATCAATTCTCCCGTCATATTGAAAAAGTAATTGTCTAAATAGGAATTTCATCACAATTTTTTTTGTGCGCATGCGTCAGTATCAGCCATCTTTTTCGTACTGTATTTTGTAAACAAGCATGTTAAAATGTCCACGTGAAAAAAATTATAATCGGTAAATATTAATTTTAAGTGTATTCGTTTACAAAATGGGATAAAAAAAGTAAAATAATAAGTGTCTTAATTGAAAAATTAATTTTTGCAATCAATTAATTATGTTATCTTCACGGAAAGGAAAAACTAAACAGTATTGTTATGAGTATGTAAAAGTGACACGTGGTATACATTATTATTTTATAAAAAGATTTGCCTGCAATATCGTAAAAAAAACTATCAATCATTAGGCAAAATACATATTAAAACATGTTCAAAATAAGCATTATGAATGAAAAAATGTGGTAGAAGTGATAAAGGTTTTCGATCGATTGAAGGATGATGTTACTAAAGATACTTTTATATTTGTTCACTACATTTTCATGGAGAAAGTGGTTTAACAGAAGAAATTCCTTGTCTGGTATTACACAATATTTTTTAATATTAAATACTACTTCGGTATACACAGTAATATTATTAAAAATGTCATGTTGATCCTTAAGATTTTAAATAATTTATCTTATTAATTATACTTGTGATTAACTTTCATGTTAAAGTGTTTTTGCAATTATTAATAGTTGGTTGGCATAATTAATTAGAATAGAGTTATAATTATTATTTGTTTTCATTAATTTTTTACACAGTTAATATGTATTGAAACCTAACCTCTTAATCACCACACTTTTTTTACTTTCCTATATAATACTTTACATAATCAACCGCGATCATCCTTTGCAAATAGTACAAGGGGTATATTCTTAATCTAAAACAGTATGTCAAAATATTAAATATAAGATATTTTTCTTGAAAATATCTACTTATGTCAGTATATATTTATTGTTTAAAATTCATATATTTGGTACATATTAAGTTATATTTAGAAAATTAGTCATAGGATCTAATTTAACCAATAAGAATTTTGAACGAGTACATCGAGTACTATATAATATCAAATATTGAGAGACTTTGACAGTGATTTCTTTTTTCGGTATTTTAGCTATTTTTGTTCGGTGGGAATACCTACTTTGACCAAAAAAGATTTTTCGAATCACTAATCACCCTGTAAGATACAATATTTTAATTATAGTAGTTAAGTATGTATTTTGACTATACAGAATGAGCAAAAAACTTCCAAAAATATTTAAGGGTGATTTATGGTGTCCATTTTAAAGAACTAGGGATTTCTAACTTCAACACCCTGTATCTCAAAATCTAGTTATAGGATACGATTGGGCCCATGGACACTTTTGATGGGGACATCAAGTTATTTAACATATAAAAAATTCAGACATTTTGACGGTACTCCCGTTTGCATAAGAAAAGTGCGTGGTCCTTTATCACAAATCATTAACATGAACAAAAATAATTGGAGTTGTTCTATGTTATTAATAACAAAAATACTTACTGCAGTCCATTGAATTGGCTATACTAGAATTAGCCACTTTATCTACAGTTTTCAAAATTATTCCTTCTTTGTCAACACAAAATTTG